TTATTAAGTCATGTTAGGGCTAATCCTCTAAGACCTCATGACTCTCCTCTTCTTTAACTGTCTTTCAACTAGTGGTTTTAGAGGCTACTGATGTTGTTTGCCTGAATTAGCTATTGCATTAATGATTGTGAAACTGGGAGATTTTCTCATTCTTCATTTATGGCTGTGTTCTGTAAAGACCTTTTGCTTCTTACTTCTTCCATCTCTCTTTTTTTTTTTTGGGGGGGGGACAGGGGTACTTGGGATTGAGCTTAGGGGCACTCGACCACTGAGTGACATCCCTGGTCCTATTTTTTGTATTTTATTTGGAGATAGGGTCTCACTGAGTTGTTTAACACCTCACTTTTTGCTGGGGCTGTCTTTGAACTTACGATCCTCCTGTCTCAACCTCCCGAGCCACTGGGATTATAGGCATGTACCACCACACCATTTTCTTATTTTGAGACAGTCTTCCTAAATTTTCAGGCTGGCCTGGAACTTGTGATCCTTTTGCCTTAGCCTCCAAAATATTCTCAGCATAATTGCTGAGAATACAGGCATGTGCCACAGCTTCTAGCTCATTTTATTTTTTGATATTCTAATAGCCCCAAATTTGTGGGTCATAGCCCCTTCAGGGTGGTTCCTGTGTCCCTTTGACATGCCTCATTAGTTGTTGAGTGTTTTCTTATTATTTTTGGTACCACAGTGTGTTCCATTCTAACCTTGTAGGACATTTCCTGTCCTAGTTTGGGGCCAGCCATACATATTTTTTAAATGATGCGTTAAAATCCAGCTACTACAGAGCTCTTTCATACTCTAACAGGAAGAGCCTGTGTTCCCTACATCAACACCTTAACTTACTGACTCTCTGTTAGAGTGCATATGACAAAGCTTCAAAATCACAACAGGACCAACAGTAACAGTAAGCCTGCTAAAATTCAAGATTTCTTTTTCCTCTTTCTTTTTTTTTCTGAGGTACTGGGAATTGAATCCAGGGGCACATGCCATTGAGCTATATCTCCAGACCTTTTCATTTTTTATTTTGAGACAGGGTCTTGCTAAATTGCTAAGGCCAGCCTTGAACTTGTGATCTTTCTGCTTTAGCCTCCCAAAAAGGGATTATAGATATGCACCACCATGCCCTGCTAAAATTCAAGATTTCTTTCCAGTTATTTTTGTCCTTGAGGTATATCTTTTTAAGAGAACACAGAGTACTATGATCCAAAGATACTAGGCAAATTACTTTTTCTATGAATGTTACCAATTTAATATACACATAGCTTCATTTGTTTATGTTTGTTTCAGTTTTAGAGTTTGCTTTTCTTTCTGGCTTGTTTTTGTTTTTTTTTTTTTAATTTTTTTTTTAAGAGAGAGTGAAAGACAGAGAGAGAGAGAGTGAGAGAGAATTTTTTTAATATTTATTTTTTAGTTTTCAGCGGACACAACATCTTTGTTTGTATGTGGTGCTGAGGATCGAACCCGGGCCGCACTCATGCCAGGCGAGTGCGCTACCACTTGAGCCACATCCCCAGCCCAACTGGCTTGTTTTTGAATATGCAAGTCTTTGTATGTACAAAAGTATATAAAAAACTTTACCCAAAGAAGTCTTTCTAGGAGCTGGGGTTGTTAGCTCAGTGATAGAGTACTTGCCAAACAAGTGTGAGACCCTGGGTTCAATCTCTAGTACCAGTAGTACCATTAAAAAAAAAAAAAAAAAAAAGTCTCTCTCAAGGTCCTAGCCCTTCCATCGTGTAAGTGACTATTTCATTACTTTCTGGTTTGTTCTTCCTGTATTTTTTCCCCAAACTAAGCAAATTCATATGCATATTCTTACTTCCCCTTCTTTTGCACATAAGGAGTAGCATTCTATTTATACTTTTTTGTACTTTTCTTTTTTTTTTTTTTAACCAGGAATTGAACCTAGGGGCACCTAACCACTGAGCCACATCCCCAGCCCTTTTTATTTTTTTATTTAGAGACAAGGTCTCACTAAGTTGCTTAGGGCCTTGCTAAGTTGCTGAGGCTGGCTTTGAACTTGTGATCCTCTTGCCTCAGCCTCCCAAGCTGCTGGAATTACAGGTGTGCAACTCCACACCTGGCTGTAGTTTGCTTTTTTAAAAATTTAATATATCCTGGAAATCTTTCCTTAGTAATTCATAGAACTTATCTTCATTCTTTTTTTTTTTTTAAAGAGAGAGTGAGTGTGTGTGTGTGTGTGTGTGTGTGAGAGAGAGAGAGAGAGAGAGAGAGAGAATTTTTTAATATTTCTTTTTTAGTTTTTGGCGGACACAACATCTTTGTTTGTATGTGGTGCTGAGGATCGAACCTGGGCCGCACGCATGCCAGGCAAGCATGCTACCGCTTGAGCCACATCCCCAGCCCTCTTCATTCTTTTTTACATCAATGTAATAGTCACATTTAGGTTGCTTTCAATAATTTGCTATTACAAATACTGTCACTGTTGAATAGTATATTTGTTGTTTCTTATTTGTGGATAAATAAGATTTGGGGGTCAAGAGGAAAAATATTTTTGTTTTCTCCCTTCATTTTTTTTTTCCTTATGTTTTTCTTCTTAAAACAAAGGTAACATATTATATTACTGTTCTATATCTTGCTGTTTTTGAACTACTGGTGATTGTGGAGATTTTTTCATCCTTAAACCTGGAAGTTCTTAACATTTTCTTTTTTAACAGGCCAGGTTATGGTGGTGCATGCCTATAATCTGAATTACTCTGGAGGCTGAGGCAGGGATTGCAAGTTTGAGGCCAATCTGGGCAATTTAGGGAGACCCTGTCGCAAAATAAAATATAAAAAGGGATAACGTCCCAGGTTCAATCCCCAGTATTGAGGAGGGGAGGCGAGTAACAGTTGTAGAGCATTTTTAGAAATAGCTGTGGAACTGTCCATTGTATGACAGTACCATTTATTTCATAAACCCTTTATTGATGGTCAGATAGCTTGTTTCCAGTTCTTAATTTACATGTTACATGTTACAGTTATGTAACTGTGGATGGGTATCACTTCATGCACATCTCTATCATGCCTTGTGTGTGTGTGTGTGTGTGTGTGTGTGTGTGTGTGTGTGTATGGTTGTAGATGGACACAATACCTTTATTTTATTATTATTATTATTAATTTATTTTTTTATGTGGTGCTGGGATTGAACCCAGTGTCTCATGCATGCTAGGCAAGTACTCTACCACTGAGCCACAACCCTGGCCCTGTGCCTTATTTCTTTTTGTGGTAGATATTGTTGGATTTTTTTTTTAATATTTATTTTTTAGTTGTAGTTGGACACAATACCTTTATTTTATTTATTTATTTTTATGTGGTGCTGAGGATTGAACCCGGAGCCTCGCACATGCGAGGCGATCGCTCTACTGCTGAGCCACAACCCCAGCCCCAGATGTTGTTGGATTTTTGTCTCTGTATTTGATTCCATACTATAAAAGGGCCACAGAAGATTTTAATTGCCTAGATTAAGTTCAGAGGATTTTGACTGGAATGCTAATTTTTTAAATTGAAGTACAGATTGAACATTTCCAATACAAAAATACAAAATCCTTTGAAATCCAATCATGCTCTGAAAGTTTCAGATTTTGGAGCATTTTTAATTTTTAGGTTAGAGATGCTCAACAGAAAAACTAAAAAATGTGATAAAATGTGAAAAATTGGAATCAAACACTTCAGGTGACAAGCATTTTCGATCAGGAATGCTTGACCTATGTATATAACACAGGAAAGTATACAAATTGTAACTGCATGCTTAGTGAATTTTCCCAAGATCTACACCTCTGTAACTAGTATATGGGTCAGGCACAACCATTATAGGCAGCTCAGATGCTTGCACCCTGTCACTGCCTCTCAATGATAATACTGCCCTCATTTCTAACATCATAGATTAGATTTGCTAGTTTTAAAACTTTACATAAATCTCAGCCAAACATAGAAATGTTACATTGCCTTAGGACTTGTAACATTTCTGCTTTTCGTTACAGATGTGTCCACCAAAGTTACTATTCCAGCAGTTATCTAGGGCTCACTAGCTTCCTTGGCCTTAACTCAACAATGATTACTTAATGTGTATCCTAGCCAGGCCTCCTGCTAAAGTCCCAACCACGTTAGCAAGAAGCCCTGCTGGGTGTCTCCCAATGCTGCAAACCACGTATATCCATAATTCAGTTTTCTTGTCTGCCCTGGACCCCAGGCCTCTTCTCACACTGTTCTCCTACTTCCCCAGGCACCTTAAAATCCCTTCACACTTGCCTCCAGCCTCATCTGCTGCTCCCTCCACATTTTTACTTTTTTGCTTTGACCACAGCAACTTTTATTCCCTTACAAATATGAAGCTCCCTCACACATGAGTGTCTGTGGGTTGCTTCCCCTCTGCCTACCTCAAAGACTGCCCTGCTCTGGGTAACTCCTCTTCATTATCCAGGTGTTTGATTACTGCTTATATTTTATTTCCCTGATTCTCAAGATCAGGTTAGATCACCTTGATAGATGCTATGATGTTTTCAGAGCAGCCCTTCTTCCCTGCATAATTAGTGGCAGGGTTATTGACTATTTCATGTGGAGGGCAGGGACCACATCTGTTCTGCTCACACTCTGCTTGGTGCCTGGCAGCTAAGTATCAATAAGTGAACAAATGACTGAAGGCTACAGGGAGGAGGGAGGACAGTTCAGCCTGTGTTTAGGATCAAGGAACAGTTTCCTCTTTCTGAGGTCTTTGGTCTCTTGAGTCTTCACTGTCACTTGGCTTTCCTTGCATGAGGTCCCCTCCCTGAAAGGAATCAAGAGAAACTTTGTACCTTGAGGCAAATGGTAGGAGTAGCTGGAAGGATGTGGCTGGTGAATGGTGGCTCTGTGAAGTGGGGAGCTGACTCCACTGGGTTTTTTCCACTGTGGGAATGAGCCAGGTCCGTCTCTAGGAGACTGCAGCCCAGCTGGGGCTTAGAAAGGTACTAGGTTGGGTGGGTCCCTGAATCTCACCCTTTTCTGGCTTTTTCCTTTCAGTTCAGGACAAAGAGTTGTGGGCAGGCCTCTGGGCCAACTGGTACCAACATGGCAGGTAAGTAGAGGGATGGGCTGTGTGGGTAGATTGAGTGAACAAAAGATGTTCCTTGTCACGTTATTTCCTCTAGTCTTTAGAGGTCAGGCTCTTTCTGTCTTCTTGTCCCAGGTGTTTCCTACTCTCCCCACTAAAGCCTATCTGAGAACCTATCTGAGGGCTAGTCAGCTGTCTAGCCCTCTGTCAGATCTCTCTGATCCTGGGGATTGAGCATCTTAATTTCCCTGTCTAGCTGACCCATTGACTGATTAGCAGCCTGGCTAGCCCAGCCCCCTTCCCCTCTGTCACTGTTCTTTTCTAATACTCTGAGACCTCTTTTTTCTGGTTTCTGAGTGTCAGATCTTTGAAGGCTCCAAGGTACAGAGTGCCAGCTGGAGGAAACTTTAGGGACTATGTAACACCACTGGACAAACTGAATTCTGGAGAGGGGCAGTGATTTAAATGAATGAGTGTTGGGGTGGAGTCTGGGACTCACATCTCTTCACTCTCACCTATCCTGTATCCTCTGCTTGGAACTGGCTTCCCACTGAGAAGTGTGTCTCACCCCAGTGAATAGTCTTTATTTTTTATTCTTCTGAGGGACATCATCTCAGGACCTTTGGTTACATTGGGATCATCTTGGCAGACCTGGGAAGTAGGGACACCTGGGTGGGATTAGCAAAGCAGCCAGTGGCCCCAGGGGCTGAGCAGGTAACTTGGCCAAGGAGAAGAGTGGCATATTGGACTGTAGGGAAGGGAAACATTATAGATGATGCCATATGGTGTGCCTCACCCACAGAGAAAGTGAACAACTTCCCACCATTGCCCAAGTTCATCCCACTGAAGCCATGTTTCTACCAAGACTTCGAGGCAGACATCCCTCCCCAGCATCTCAGCATGACTAAGCGCCTCTATTACCTTTGGATGTGTGAGTACGGTGGGGATGGAGTGGGCCAGGGTGGGTGGGGAGGAAGGAAAACTGGGGGGGCTGGGCATTGGGGTAGGGAGCCCACAGGCCTGGCTTCAGTCCCATGTGTGGCATCTGAGTGGACCAGGAAGTCTTTCCCCTGGCTTCCAGCAGGCTCCTTTCATGGACTAATTCCCCAGCTGGACCTCAGTTTCCTCCATTGAGGCCTTTCTTTCCTTCCTTCCCTCCCCCATCTTTCATTTATAGAGCCTTGGGTTAGAGTTCTCTTTTTTGCAGTGTAATTCCTCTTGTTTTGCTTCCCTTCCCCTTTCCACTTGAGTAGCTTTACAGGGAACTCTGGTAACCTGAGGATTCTGGATTTGGAAGAGAATTCTTCCCTCAAAGCCTCATTTTTCTTGCTCTCTCAAGGAGATTGCTCAAAGAGAAAAGCATTCAACTGTGAGTTGGGAGACATGGATCCAGTTTGTTTCATGGCTTCACTTCCCAAGCAGCAGATTCCCCATTTGTAGAAAGAGAATTGGTTTAGTAATTGCTATGGTTCCATGTAGCTGTGTGGTTTATATTTCTAGGAGTATAGAGTTCTAATGTTGCAAGGTTTTGAAGCTGAAAGTCTAAAGTCCCCCACTTCTGATGATCTATGGCAAGTTGAAGAGAAAGGTGTCATCAAAGGGGAACGGGGGGCTGGGGATGTGGCTCAAGCGGTGGCGCGCTCCCCTGGCATGCGCGTGGCCCGGGTTCTATCCTCAGCACCACATACAAACAAAGATGTTGTGTCTGCCGAAAACTAAAAAAAAAAAAGGGGGGGGGGGAATGGGACTTGGCTGTGCCCAGGTTGGTTTGAAGGCACTGCTTTGGCACATGAGGAGAGGGCAGGCTGCTGGTCCTGTGCAAGGTACCATCCTCAGGGAGCCCCAGACACCACATTTGTGATCTGTCATATTTGACTTTCCCTTGAGTCAGGCCTGCACAAATAGGTAGATGATTGATTTTGCCAAGAAGGTGAGAAAGAATGCTGTCTTTACAGCAGAGCCTTCATGGGATGGTAGAAAGAGTAAAGGGTCAGAGTTGGGTGCATATCTATTGTCTCATCTACTCAGGAAGGATTGTTTGAGCCTGCAAGTCCAAGATCAGCCTGAGCAACTTAGTGAGAACTCATTAAAAAAACAAATAAACAAACAAAAAAATTAAAAAGAAAACAAAGAATAGATGGTTAGGCAGATAAGCCAAGTTTCAAGGCCTGGCTTGACCTTTGGGTAGAGAAGGGATCTGCTCAAAGGAGTTCCCTCCCTGTAACATGAGAGAAGGAAGGGATGGGGCAGCTGTGGGTAGATCTGTAGATGTTGAGAAAAAAATGAGGAGTTACCTCTCTTGGCTTCCATTCCTTTCCATCAGATATGATGTAGGCACGAGAGTGGGAACTTTCGGATAGATGAGTCCAGAATGAGAGCAAGTTTGTGGCAGAGGGTCAGGATACCTGCTAAAGAAACCTGGGCCCTAAGATTTCTGGGTCATGTAAAAGGTCCATTTGAGGTTACCTGTTATGAATTTTAGTCCTGCTAGGCTTTTCTGTGGCACGCCCCCCAACACACACACACCCACCAGGGACTTTCAGCTCAGGTACAAATAGTCATTCAGAGTGAGTGTGACCAGAAGACAGGTCAGGGGAATGTAATGAATTATGAACTTTATGCTGGATGAAGAGAGGAGTGAAGATAGTAAAACTCATGGGTAGAGAAAGGATGTCCATTCCAAAGAGGGAGTAGAATAATTGTAGCAGAGCACTGGAGCAAATAAACTAGAGAGGGGTGTGACTGGAAAGAGAGATGTCAACCAATATGATAAATTGTTAGTGTCTTTTCTTTTTTATATATATTGTTTTAGTTGTAGATGGACACAATACCTTTATTTTATTATGTGATGCTGAGTATCAAACCCAGTGCTTCACACGTGCTAGGCAAATGCTTTACCACTGAGCCCCAGTCCGGCCCGGTTAGTACCTTTTCTATGTAAAAAGCAAATAAAATCAGTAAGAATATTAAGGCTCCAGGAAATTGTGTAGCATGAACAAGGATGGTAGTAGGACAGCTGGAATACATTGGAAAAAGTGTCCATACTTGTTATGAGGGGCTCTGAGATGGTCATACCTGCATACAAGTGACAGAGTTATCAGGCCAGATCAGATTTGGGAAGCACTGTGTGACCCTGGCTTCCTGGAACTCCACTCCTGGGGAGATCTCATCCAGAAGCTGGATTTAAGGGCTATAAATATCTCCTTAAGTCCTTATTAGGTGCCTGCTAGGTGCTTGGGTCCTGAGGAAATATATATAAGCCTGAGATGTGGAAGGATTCTATTCAGAACCACAGATGCCTGGCTGTTTGAGGCCAAGATTGAGCGGCCCTTGCTTTTTTTATTCAGCAGATCTTGTAGATTCAGTTCAGTGTTCAAGGAAGGGAGCACCCGAGGTGTGTGAGAGTACCAGCATTGATTTTTTTTTTTAAAGTAAGGAGTCTTTGAGGCACCTGTTGGCTGTGACTCTGTAATACTGTGATTCCTAGGCTCAGCTAGATGAAGTGGGGACAGAGGAGGGAAAGCCTGGATCTATCTTGGGGAGCGTCTAGTCTGACTGATGGTTTGTATTTGGGGGACTATGAGAGCATCTCAGGTCTGCAGGAGGTCAGAGGGGTGAGAGATGAGTAAGGAAGGCTTCTTGGAGGAGGAAGCTTGATAGCTGTCTATGAAATTGATTAAAGACTGAGATCCTGATATCACTGCATATCCCATTTAAGTGCAGGGGAGATGTCACAGTGACTTGGAGAGATGTTTCCACAAAGCCTTTTGCTTTTGCCTTTTCATGCCCCTACCTTGCAAGTGAAGGCATAAGATGCCTTGGGCTTAGTGACTGCTGCAGGTCTGGGAGGATCAGGGACTGAAGCCTTTCTGTTTTGTGGTGCTGGGATTCATATGTAGGGCCTGGTGCATTTTAGGCACATGCTGTACCATTGAGCTATATCCCTAGTCCAAAGACCTTTCTTACAAGAAGAACATTTCTACCACCCTGAGGCTTGGGGGCCCTTAAAAGGGGCTTGATGGGCAGAAACTCTGGGTTCCTGTTCTGGAGACTCTTTGTTCTCTGGATTTCTCAGATTCCCAGGAGTGGGTATGGGGAGGGGTTTGGTCAAAGCTTCCAACTTTTTTCTTATAGTCTGTACTCCTCTGTATGTGTTTGTGTGTCTTGTGTGTCTGTGTGTATGTATTCATTGATATGGGTTGTGGGTCTTCTGTGTGGGTGTGAATCTATAAATGTGGTTTGTTTTTGTATGTGTATATCCGTGTGTGTCTACATCTCTCTGTGCTACTGGCATGTGTTTATGGGTCTGTGTTGAGTTCTGGGTATGTGTTATCCATGTTTGGGTGCTCACGTATCTCTGAATGGACTTGGATGCATGTGTGCATGTTGGTGTCTGTCTCTGTGTGTGCATGTGCTCCTGGGTCTGCAGTGAACAGCATCACACTGGCCGTGAACCTGGTGGGCTGTCTTGCGTGGCTGATCGGAGGCGGGGGATCCACCAACTTTGGCCTCGCCTTTCTCTGGCTCATCCTCTTCACACCCTGCTCCTACGTCTGCTGGTTTCGGCCCATTTACAAGGCCTTCAAGTAAGTGGTTGGCACTGACCCTAGCTCCTAGCCCTATTTGTCCACTCCCTTTTTTTCTTTTCTACATCTTCTCTCTCTGCCATCACCCTACCTTTCCCAATATCACTTTCCCTTGTTCACCATTGCCTCAGATTGTTGTGGTTCTTGAGCTTCCTGGAAACTCCAGGCTGGGGTGAGAGGGCTGGGAGAACCTTCCTGTTAGTTCTTTCCCTTCCACTCTGTCTTTGGGAGTGGAGGACACAGAGACCAGATCTATTTCTATCTTCTCCCATCACCTTTCTTGGTGGAGCTGCCCATCCTTGATTGGTGATAAGAAGACCATTTAACAATGTGCCAGTGGAAACAGCTATCTATCTATCAACCATTGGTACTATTCATGTGCAAATGAAGTCATCTGACTCTGTACCAAAGGGAGCACCCATCCATGTGTCAGTGGCATTGACTGTCTTGATGCCTGTGAGTGCCCATTTAGTGCCAAATAGGATTTCAACCTTTGTGCCAATGGAACATACCAACAAGGCTGTTTGTCTTGATGTCAGTAGACTATCCTAATGGGTCCTTTTTTTTTTTTTTTTTTGTCAATTATTAGTCCATCTGTCTATGTGCCAGCTAGTTATCTTCGTGCCAATAAGGTGTCCATTCAGTGCCAGTGGAATTTTCTGACTCTGGGCCTATGGGACCATCCATCCATGTACCAGTATGTTTTAGTGCCAATGTGGCTACCCTTGAGAGTGGGGCTGCTTGCTTCTGCCCCAATGAAGCCATCTATTTCTATGCCAATGGGGCCATCCTTCCATGTGCCAGTGGTTGGTCTATTCATGAGGAGATCCCCTCCCTGTGTAAATGTTGCATACACAGGTCAAACCCATGGAAATATTCAAAGATTTATGGATAAAGGGTATCCCATTCTGGTCTCTCGATTAAGGCCTCCATTATGCATTCATTTCAACTTAGAAAGGCTTGGGGTCCTTGAAGGCAGGGAAACCCTGGCTGTTTGCTTAGGCCACCTTCTCTGATGCAGGACCGACAGCTCTTTCAGCTTCATGGCATTCTTCTTCACCTTCACGGCCCAACTGGTCATCAGCATCATCCAGGCTGTGGGCATCCCAGGCTGGGGCGTCTGGTAAGAGGCAGGGGACTGGCTTGGGGCTGGTAGGAATGACACCTTGGGTGTGTCCTTTGCTTACCTCTGTGTGCTAAACTGCCTAGACTCTGAGACACTGTGGGTGACTAGTTATTGGAAGAGTGAAAGGATTCAGGACAGTGTAGTAGCCACCACCAGTGAATTAAGGGAAGGAGAATTGGGCAGTGGTTTCTGGGCAGCTGGGAAGTGTCAAGCATTGTGGGAAAACCTTAGGGAAGGAAGATTTGTATCTGATCCCTAAGGAAGGGGTCTTCCTGAGCCACTGATACAGGCCCTTGGATATCAGTAAGATAGTCCTTCTGCATCCAACGATGTGGTTCCTCCCTGTGGCAATGGAATGGCTCCCTGCCTCAGTGGGATGTATCTGGGTATGCCTCCTTCTGTCTGCATAGCCCCACAGCTGGCCTTTTCTTACAGTGGCTGGATCGCCACCATCTCCTACTTCGGGACAAACATTGGCTCAGCAGTGGTGATGCTCATTCCCACCATCATGTTCACAGTCGTGGCTGTCTTTTCCTTCATCGCCCTCAGCATGGTATGTGGCCACCTCAAAGGTGAGAGGGTGGGTTTGGGAAGGGACTATGATCTGAAACAATCCTTCTTCCAAATTACAAGAGGAGCCAGAGGTTTTCCAAGTTAACTCACTCTGGAATTACCTGCTAGACTTTCCTACTGGTGCACAGTGCATGGGCCAGGAGGGAGGACTGGTTTTTACATGTGGATCCCATCTGTTTCCTGGATAGGCTGCCTCTTTCTTTGGATTAACTCTTCCTTATCCTTCTTCTACAGGTTCATAAATTCTATCGGGGAAGTGGGGGAAGTTTCAGCAAAGCTCAGGAGGAATGGACCACAGGGGCATGGAAGAACCCACATGTGCAGCAGGCAGCCCAGAATGCAGCCATGGGGGCAGCCCAGGGTGCCATGAATCAGCCGCAGACTCAGTATTCCGCCACCCCTAACTACACATACTCCAATGAGATGTGAGCCAGCCAAGCCTACAGGAGGCAGGGCTGGGGGCCAGTGGGACAGGGGGCTCAAGCTACAGCATCTGTTGTGGTAAACAAGCAGGGTTTCCCCTTCCCTTTTCTCCTCCTCCCCAACTTTGTACAAAGAATCAGAGTTATATATATATATGTATATGTCTATTCCCTGCCCCCACTTTTTGGTTCCTGCTCTTAGATCTTTAAGAGCTGTGGGTTGCACGTGGAGCTATCCCGTGCAGTGGTAGCTGTGTCTATGTCCCCTTGTGAAATAGTTGCAGTGAAGGTCTCTTGTTGTGGTGCTAGCTGTATGTTTAGAACTAAACCAGCCCCCCCACCCTCACCAGGCTGCCCCCTCTGACCCTGACCCAGGGACTCCTTATGGGGCAGGGGGAGGCAAAGCAGGGAGCCTGGCGCCCTCTGCAGGGTTATGAGCTGAAACTTTCCACTTTTGTCCCTATTGGGAAGCAACAGTATTTAGCACTTATGGTGGTAGGTGGGAAGGTGGGGACAAGCAGGGGTGCTTCCCTTGCTTCTTGTAATCCATCTGATCTCCTCCCTCAGTCTTCTCCTCTCCTTGTCTCCTCCCTGCCATCAGATTCCCAGTGCTCACTTCCATCATCCAGGGTCTCTTTCTCTTTCCTGTGTGGCTTTTCTGTCTTTGCCAAGGCTGTATCCCAGTTATATCTGCTTCTAAGACTAAGCCCACATTCCCAAATCTGATCTGATTTCCAGTTCAAGTAAGCTGAGAGGGGAGCTGAGCCTCAGCCCTGATGTTGAAGGGGTATGCAGCTGGAGATTCAAAGCCCACCTGGGGACCTGAATTCCAGGGAATGGCAATACAGGATTGGTCTCCTTGCCTCTGAGTCCATCTGTCTGTTTCCTTCTGCTTCCTTCTCAACCCTCAAATCCTTGGGCTTGACTCTTCTACCCTGGCTTTACTGCCTTCCCTGAGGAGTTTGGTTCTGTGGGGATTTGTCATCTCCAGTTGTGCTGGAGCAGAAGACATGTAAATAATTATTGGTCCCTGGGGAGGTCTGGCTATTCTCATTCCACTGGAGCTTCTAGGTATCTCTGAGTAACCATAGGATTCCACTGGATTCCTTGGAGCAAAGCTGTTCTGTTTGGGTCTGGCAGGAAGTACAGGGCTCAGAGGGCCAGAACTGGAAGAGAGATCAGAAGAAGGTAGACAGTATCCAATGAGAGAGGAGCATGCCACTCGTAGTCTCACTTGCTCTTGGCCACAGAAAAGTGCTGGGCACTTGAACTTGGGGCCCAGGGAAAAGTGCACAGGTCCAGTCCTTGTTGTAAGCACAATGAACCTAAATGGTATTTCTGGTTAGTCAGGGAGGGAAGAAGAGATGCTTTGGCTTTAGTTTTTGGTTTAGGTATCCCCCACCCCACATCCAAATCAAGATAACTTCCTTCCTTCTGTCTAAAGGATTTGGTTCTTGGCAATTCTTCACCCTGTTAACACCTCTTTCCCCTTCTAAGAGGCCCAAACAGGGGCTGTTTTGTTTGAAGCAGTGATGAACATTGCTGGCAGAGGCCTCAACTCTGTATGAGACCTGGATGGAATTGGGTTCTCACCAAAGGAGCAGCTCCCTATTTCCTACCCTCTCTTCTTCCAGTGGAAGCCCACCTGGGCTAGATGAATTGGAAAACCAGACCCCACTTGACCACTCTAGGCTGGCTCCTCCTTGAAACTCAACACCTCACTTTGCAGGCCACTCTGAGCATTGACCTACCACTACTTCATAAAGTTCTTTTCTAATGGTCCCTTAGGCTTGGGTCACAAAATATAATTGGTTCTCTTATCATTTTCCTTCTGGAGAGCAGTTGTCACAGCCCCTGGTATCTGAAGAGACCCTTCCTTCCCCTTGATCCCAGTCCTCTGATTCCCTTTCCCTTAATCCCTCTGGTAGTTCCAGGAAGACTGTGGTCCAGTTGCTAGCCTGGCATCCATGGCCTGTTGGATGCCACCTTCAATCAATTTCCTGTCCTACCTGCCTTTCCCCTGAACTGGCTCAGACCCGTATGGCTGTGCCTGGCATTGTCCTTGGAAACCCTATTACCTACGTCTGGCCCAGCTTATTCAGTCTCTGGGAGGCTGTATTTCTAGGCAACTATGCACTTTCCTGTGGAGGGAACCAGGATGAGAAGTGGGGGTTGGACACAGAACCCTCTCTGCTGGATGGTCTGGCTTGGAGGTGGGTCAAGGAGGGCCCAGTTATGGGGATCCTCAGGTCTGTGGCCAGCCAGTGATCTGTTTTTGCATTTTCCTGGTGCCCACTGCCCCTCCTTATTTCTGGGAGGCATAAACCATTCCCTAGCTGGCAGTTGATCTGCCTGAGCCAATGTGTCTATCTGTGGTAACTGAGTGAACAAAAATAAAGGGGAACATTTGACCCTGTCTGTTGTGTCATGTGTCTTCATGTTGGCCTGCATGGAGCCTTACCTTGGGCCATAGGGCAGAGGTGTGAAGGTGAGATGGGTGAGTTGGGTGATCTGTGGAGTTATTCCTTAGCACCAAAAGCCGAGCATGTTTTTGTTTTTTTTTTTTTGGTGCTGGAGATTGAACTCAGGGCTTTGTACATGTGAGGCAAGCACTCTACCAAATGAGCTATATTCCCAGCCCAAGCCATGCACTTTCATGTGGTTCTTCCTCTGAGGCAGCTTTGAGTAGGCCCTGAAGTTGCCACATAGGCCTTCTGCTTATTAGGAGGAGAAAGCTGTGAATTCCTGAGAAGGAAGTAGAAATAGGAATGATCAGTGGGTGAGGGGTGGTTTGGTCCACATGGTTCACTGTGGACAAGGGAAAGAGTAGAGCATAGTGGTCCCTCAGCTGTCACCGTGGGATACCTGTATCTGGTTGAGCAGCCTCAATAAACACAAAGGTCCTGAATGCAGGAAAATGAATAAGGTAGGGAAATGCATCCAACATGCTTTCTCCTGCTGTTTTCCCTTTGCCCTCCTCTTGGAGTGCCTTTCTGGTCATCTATCCTGGTCATCCTTCCAGATTCATCTCAAGTGACTGACTCCTTCGTAGAGAGGGCTTTCCTACCTGGAATGTTGCTTAGGTCCCTCAGTTTCCTCATGGAAAACCTTATCCTGTAATTGTGTTCCTGTTTGTCTCAAGAGCAGAGCCACATCTTATTCATCTCTGTATCCTGTGCACCTTAAACAGTAGGGGTGTGGTACTATTCAATATTAAGTGCCTAAGTTCTGAATTGTGTGTGTGAATGTGGGATAGCATATAAAATTGAACGAGGGCGAATTTTGTCAGAAGAGAACTGCCTGCTGTCCTTTGAAATATTTGGAAACTGTTAGACAATAAGAGGAGAGCTTCCCAAGTTAGGCCAATGGTGGGTGTCCTGGAGCAGGGCTTTTCTACATCTGCCTTAGCGGCTTAGAGGATAAAGGTGAGGAAGTCCTACAATTAGGCAAGTCCTCAGCTCCAGAAGTGAAGAGCTTGGAGTCTGTGAGTGTCCTATTCCCTCAGTGGACTACAACTCCCAGAAGTCAGAGGAGTGGACTACAATTTTCAGCGTAGACTACAACTCCCAGAAGGTTGTGCAATCTCTGTGCGCTCTCGTGAGGCTGCGTACCGTTCAGGATCTGTGGGAAAGGGCAGCCAAGATATCGCGGTATTTGGTGACTGCCTACGAGACGCGCCTGGTGTCTGGCGCGGGTGAGCAGTCGGAGGGGCTGGGAAGCTGGGTCTTGGCGTACTCGATGGGGAGGCGGGAGAAACTGTGCTTGCGGCTGTGTGTACGTGGGGGTGGAGCGGTGGGGGGATATTTCCGCGTGTGGACGTATAGACAGCCCGTACAGCCTGTGAGACCTCACCAACCGGTACTCGTGGGGGCCCGCAGAAGCAATAGGGACCACTGAACCCAGAGTGGGGGATATATATCTACATGTGTGTCCACTCATTTTGACTTGCGTTACTCTTGAGATTTTTTGTTCTGCGCTGTTTAATTCAGTAGAAGGAGGCTTTATAATTTCTCGCATTTAACGCTCACCTTTAAAAAAACAAAAGCCATGTGAGTCTGCTTTAAGAAAGGAGCAAGGACTTTCCAAAGGGCAAACCGTATATTAATTAACTTAAAAAAAAAAAAGGTATTTGGGATTGAATCTAGGAGCGCTTTGACAGAGCTAAATTGCTGAGAGGGGCCTCGAACTTTCGAGCTCCTGACAGGAGCATCACTGGGATTACAGGCACCACCGCGCCCAGTCGGACAGTATTTTAAAAGGTAGTGAAATCGAAAAATGAAAGCTCTAGAGTGTTGGATTTATCTGTAGGAACCTCCTGAAAATGCTGAATAGCATGTAAAAATTGAGCGAGGGCGAATTTTGTCAGAAGAGAACTGCCTCCTGTCCTTTGAAATAGTGGAAACTGTTAGACAATAAGAGGAGAGCTTCCCAAGTTAGGCCAGTGGTGGGTGTCCTGGAGCAGGGCTTTTCTACATCTGCCTTAGCGGCTGGGAGGTAGCAGTAGTCACTACAATCTAATAGTTGGAGTGTGTGTGGGATCTCTCCAACATGTGGCTTCCTGGACAGGTGCCCACAGGAAATTTCAGGATCAGCAGAGTCAAGCATGCCTATCTCTGGTTTGAGAGAAAAGTACTCTATTAGAAATACCAAGGCTTCGAGTGTTCCCAGCAGAGTTCCTTGTCTTACCTAGGCTTAGAGAAGAGTTTTAATTTTTCTTTGGGTTTTGGTGCAAAGTGACACTTTGAGAAGCTACAAGTTATTCGTTGTTGCTGGGGTAGATGATAGAGTGTATTGATTGGTAGAAGGTCAGCCTAGGTCAGTAGTGAGGGGCTTTGATGGCAGGCTAAAGGATTCGGGTTTTTGTTTTTAATATGCCAAGAATGAACTTAGGGCTTTACACATGCCTTTACTACTGAGCTGCATCCCCAGCCCTTTCAGGAGCCCTGCTTATCCATCTTCCTTTGGGCCTGTTTTGTCTTAGGTTCCAGTCCCTCATCTTTCCTGAATTGGGCTCAGCTTATACCCTGTCTTGTCTTGCTTACCTTGCTTCCTTTTTTAGCCCTAGTTCTATTCTGGTTCTACTCTTGACCATGTTGTTACTGGCAAATATCCCTGAAATCTTTCCATTTTGCCCTTTATTTAAACTGCTCAGAGAGGAAGACTTAGCCATTGCATGCTGAGGCTCCTTGCTCTTTCTGATAATCTTTCTAAAAGAGAAAAGCCAGGTACAGTGGTGCATGCCTGTAATCCCAACAACTCAGGCTGGAGGATTGCAGGTTTGAGACCAGTCTCAGTTTAGCAGTTAGCAAGACCCTGTCTCAGATTTTTTAAAAGGGCTGGGGATGTAGCTCAGCAGTAAAAACATCCCTAGCTTTAATCCCCAGAGCCAAAAAAAGAAAGTGGGGCAGGTGGGGGATAGGAGGAATAGAAGCTCCCATTTTTCTGGATGTGGGTTACCTGCATGGCTGGTGCCCTGGGACCTTAAGGCCCAGTAATCATGGCCTTTAGCACTATAACCCACCTGTTTGCCAACTGGCCCCTGCCCCATACTGAGGATTGTTACCCAGGGGCACTTTACCATTGAGCTATATCCCCAGCCCCTTTTTAAATTTTATATATATATTTTTTTATTTTGAGACAGGGCCTCACTAAGTTGCTGAAGCTGGTCTAAAACTGTGATCCTTCTGTCTCAGCCTCCTGAGTTACTGGGTTTATAGGTGTGTGCCACTGTGCCCATCTTCAATTGATTGCTTACTGTAGCCTGTTTCGTAGGAATTTTTCAGTTTGTTTATAGAGGAGGTTCAGGGGCTGCAGAGATGTAATTGAACTTCTGGTTTTGCAGGAATCTCCCTGTCCTAATAGGATAGGCTAGGGTGGAACTAGGTCGGAGTTTGAGATCTGGCAGGTAGGTTTTCCCAAAGAACCAAGAATGTGCTTCTGTTACCCACCAATGTACTCTGACAAGAAACTGGCTTAGAGACCCTGTGGACCTTGCTAGTTGCTAATAGGGCTTTTTAGTTCCCAGATGAACTCAATTCTTCAACTCTGAGCCAGCATGGCCCTGGCTAGGCCTGAAATAGAAATTGAAATTGCTGGCAAATGGAACCCTGGGGGGTCTTGCTCTAGGAAACCAGCCTATACTTAACCCCTACTGAGAAGGGTCTGAATCCTTGGAGACCCTTCCATGTAGAAGTGGGATACTGGAGCCAAAAATCATCTGCTCACATGGATATATACTAAGAGTTAAAGGCAAATATTGGGCAGAGAGGACTCCATGGAGCTATGAAGGTAGCCAGTAGAAACACAGCTGTTTACCAGTTCTTCCTCTGGGTCAGTTGGGTTTCCCTCATGCTGCTGATTCTGCCCTTTTTGAGCATCTTCTTAAGACCTTCTCCCTTGTACAAAGAGCCCTTACCACTGTCTTTTATGTATTGACTCAGGCTTCTACTGGAGGAAGCTTGAGAGAGAAACCCATCCTAACTGCATTTGGCACATGAAGGAGACTTAGGTTACATATCAAGTCAGAAGTATAACTATAAGCAGGATCCAGGGCTTCTGATTCACAGGCCACAGTGTCTAGAGGGTACAGCCTCCTCCCCACTATACTGGGAATTGAACCCAGCATTCCCAGCATGCTAGGCAAGTGATCTGCCAGTGTGCTACTTCTCCAGCCCCAGCATGCAATTTATCAATCATTCAGCAGACATTCAGGACTGCCTGGTAGTAGGCTAGTGACTGGGTGTTATGGTTTAGATATGAAGTGTCCCCCCAAAATTCATGTGTGAGACAATGTGAGAAAGCTTAGAGGTGAAATCAGGTTATGGGAGCCTTGACCTAATAAGTTCATTAATCCTCTGATAGGAATTAACTGGGTGGTAACTGTAGGCAGGTAGGGCATGGCTGGAGAAGCTAGGTCTATGGGGGCATGCCCTTGCAGATTATATTTTGTCTGTAGTGAGGGGAGCTCTTCGTGCTTCCTGGTGCCCTGTTCCAAGCTGCTTTCCTCTACCACACATTTGCACCATGATATTCTGTCTCCCCTCAGGCCCTGAGGATTGGATTTGTCCATCTTTGAACTGAGATCTCTGAAACCATGAGCCCCAAATAAACTTTTCCTCCTCTAAAGTTGTTCTTGTCAAGTCTTTTGGTCACAGCAATGAAAAAAGCTGACTAAAGCACTGGATGGTTAAACATGATCACACTGCAGGGAACTTGCTGTTGGAGGTAGAGGCAAAAAACTTATACAAATTAAGTCAGTGATGACCAAAAAGGTACATGGTAGAGAAGGACCTGTTTCAAGTAATTCTGGGTGTGATCTCTGTCTTCTTAACCTTACTTATAGATTCCCTGATGGTAGCAGCTGTATTTTCTAGAGGTCCTTTGCCCAGAGTTGAACTCAGTCCTCAGTGATTGTTGCTGATGGAGTGTGGTTTGCTGGCCCAGCTTGCCAGAATGTAGGTTTTGGTATGTCCCTCAGTTCTATTATGAACACTCAGCTGTGTGTGATAGCCCACCCTTTTAATCCCAGCTATTTAGGAGGCCAAGACAGGAGGATCCAAGGTCAAGGCCCGAAACCTGACACCTCCCTCGCCTGCCCCCAAATTCAGGAACACTTACTTCTAGCGACATCTGAGAGTCAAAGGAGGAAATAAGCTAGCTGGTCCCGTGGCGTGGCCTACATCTGCTTCTCCTTGGTAGGTTGGTGCTCAGGCTGATCTACAGAGTCAGAGCCATAGAGGCCAAAATCTCTCAACTCCTGGGAGTACCCAGTCCCCCTCGTTGCCTAGGGTTCTGCCTCACAAGCATCTTTGGACTCCATCTCTTACTACTACGCCCTTGGACCAGTCAGCCTGGTCTGCTGCAGTAGTTCCTTTCACTCTCCATCTTTTCACCCCCAGCCTCCTCTACACTCTTGGCAGCACCAGTACCAGCACCATCTTTCTCAAATAAAAACTCCAGGGTCTCACTGCCCTTGACATTCTGACCTCAACCTGATTTTGCAGCCTTATCCTAATATCTACATCACGCTTCAACCTCACTACTGAGCTACTTTCTGTTCTCCCAACTTCCTACCTCCTTTCAGGTCTTTCCACCTTTATAAGATTTTCCATCTTTTGAAGTCATTTCCTCCTGTTTCTGGAAAAAAATGTTTCTCCTTCAGGATTCAACCTGAATGTCTTTTCAATGAGACAGTCACCATACCTGGTATGACCCTTCTTCACAGCATTTGCCACATTACATTGTAACAGGCCTGTGGGGGAGGGGGGGTCTGACTTTCTAATCATACTGTGTTAACAGAAGCTGGGACTGTGGGGATCCTCTGAGGCGCGCTGGCATCTGGTGTAGGGTCTAACATGATATTCTCTGTATACCTTTTGGTTGAATGTGTGAGTGAAAGGGTATCATTTGTTCTGCTCTAGATGCTGACAGAGCTTTATGAAGTCCAGGCTTTGCAGGCTCCCAGAATTTTAAGCCATTAGACCCCACATGGAATCATGTCCAGGTGCTGCATCCTTGGTGGAGAGAAAATTCCATGTTCTTGTGGGTGTCACCGGAAGTGTTGCTGCTCTGAAGTTGCCTTTTTTGGTGTCAAAGCTTTTGGACATTCCTGGGGTGAGTATCCTCTTTAGACAAGTGTAGTGGCCTCTGACATTAGACAGTCATCATTACTATACTATCATGTAATGATAGTAACTATTGTATAATGATACCAGCCTATTTCTCTTCAGTGTGTGGGATTTTCTTGTACTGGGAATTGAACTCAGGGTGCTTTACCACTGAGCTATGTCCACAGTCCTTTTTTTTTTTTTTTTTTTTTAATTTTTGTTTTTGTAGTTGTAGATGGACAGAATGCCTTTATTTGTTTATTTTTATGTGGTGCTGAGGATCAAACCCAGTGCCTCACACATGCTAGGCAAGCGCTCTGCCACTGAGCTACAGTTCCAACCCCCTCCCCAGTCCTATCTATCTATCTATCTATCTATCTATCTATCTATCTATCTATTTATTTTGGAATAGGGTCCCACTAAATTTCTGAAGGCCTTGCTAAATTGCTGAGACTGGCCTTGAACTTGTGATCTTCCTGCTTCGCTGGGATTGTAAGCATGTGCCACCATGCCTGGCAGGATTTTCTTTTTCTTAATCATGGTATTTGTGGATCTCTTCTGGGTGTGTTCGTGTGTGGGCCGTGTAAGCAGGAGCTAGATTAGATTAGATAATGTGGACAGGATTTGAAGGGAGATGGGGAAAGGATGCTGTGGATGGGGGTTTGAGTTCCTATACACTGACCCTGAGAGCCCGTGAGATCCTGTGGGAAGGAGGCTGGCTGAGTAAATACAGCAGGTTCTCGGCCCCCACTTGTGCCTTGGGCTCCTCTGCCCCATTTTCACTTGGTTCTGAGCACCGGGGTTCTATTCTTTTGTTAGACACCATGGTTGTCCTGTCAAATGCACTGAAATCTCAAAGGCTCCTCATTGCCCACAGCTCTGGTTTCAAACTTTGCTGCCTCAGGTGTTTGCAGATGCCCAAGGAACCCCACATTGTTTTGAGGTTGGAAACTCTAGCCCCCCGTTCTTGGCTAGGCCACCTCAATTTCGGTCAGTTTCATATTTTGGGCAAAAGTTCAAAGCCTTAAACAACGTAAAATCCAATAGACGACAACCCCACAGCCCTGTGGTTTGATTTGATGTGGAACCATAGGTTACTTTGGACATTGCTCATGTTATCTGCCATAGTTTTGGGAGCATTGTTATGTTAAGGCCCAGGCTGTGCCTTTTTCTTGTTTATCTGCTTAGTCCCTAATGTAGAGTGGCCCAGGCAGCTATATCTGACATGTCCAGCAGGGGGCGTTGCTCACCCAGAGATGACTGTGAGGACAGCATTGGGGTCTGGGAAAGCTTGTTTTACTTTTTTTTTTTTTTTTTTAATGTTCCACAGACTTCTACCCAGAAAGTCACCCCCTCACCCCACCTTCCAGGCTGGGATAAGCAGTGAAACTGCCAGCCAGACCAGAGGAGAGAGGGAGGAGAAACTCACGGCTGCTTTGAGACTGGATGCTGTGGTTTGGGGGCAGTGCTGTCAGGGACTGGCTACCCTCTTGTGTGCCCAGAATCATTGGTAGGAGGTAGACACCTAGAGCCTTGAGGGTGGGAGACCTGGAAGGGGTTGCAGCAGCTAGAGCCTCTGTCTCCACCCCCTGGGAAAGGAGGGAGCCATGTAGTTCCTTTTCTCATAGACCCAAAGCAAGTGAGTTTCCGGGACAGCGTGGATGGGGGCAGGGAGTCCTATCCCAGGAAACAGATGGGCAGCCTCAGAGCTAGGGGAAATGGCAACCCCGCCACTTCCTCCCATCCCACGCAGCCAGCATTTATGGGGGGTGTGAGGAAAGGGTTGCCTGGAGCAGGGAAGCTGTCCAGCCTACCCCAGGCATTTTAGCTTGGGCCTCCTGGGAGGACAGGCCATGTCTGGAACAGGACTTGGCCCTCCCTCTCTGGCTGGGGTTGAAACTGGATCGAGGCAGCCAGAGGGCACTGAGCTGGGAGGGAAGCCTCTTTACTTTGGAACCTGCCCTTCTCATTTTAAAATAGGGATAATTATTGCTACTCATCCCCCACGTGCTTGTCAGGTACCATGAGGTGTTGGCTGGGGACACAGATGACAGAGATGACAGTTTGTCATCTTGTGCAAGCAACTAGGCACAGAGCTTGGCATGCAGAAGCACGTAACAGTGTGTGTGTTTCCTGTCCACCACCCCCACTTTCCCCCATGTCCTGTCCTTGGGCCAGCAGCATAGTGTGAGGTATTGGGGTTTGTGAGAAAGCCATATGGAAAAAGCCATGGAACCACAGTTTCCCTGACAAAGTGAGGGTCCTCATCCCTCTTCAGGTAAACAGCTCACCATGCCTAGCTTTGCTAATTATGTTCCTGTGAGACATCCCAGGTTTACCTAGAGTTGGCCCCAGATGTTAGACACTACCACCCTTCCTAGTGGTCCTGAGCTCCCTGTTTCTCTCTTCTGCTCTGCCCCCCAGCAGTCTTTGTCCCTTGGAGCAGTCACTTTCAACTCTTTGCCTGCTGAATTGTGAGTTCATGTGCACAAGGCTTTACTGAGCTCCCTTCAGGACACCGGGATTGACTAGCCATTGAACAGCTGGGCTGTAGGCTGCTGGGAGCTGGGCAATTCTGCAGACCTGGCTCATAACTACATCTGATCCATCAGTATGTGCAGGTGTCCCGGAGAGCCACTGATCTAAAGGTCACTGTGCTGCCACCCCAGAGCCAGATCAGGGAGACTGTGGTGGCCTATGGCAAGGGGTGGATTTAGTCATAATCTCATACCAGCAGCCAGGGAGAGAAGATACCCTAAAGTCCTCAAGCCTATATGTGGGAGGGGGGAACTGGTAGGGGACAACCCTATGCTAAGAGAAGCAGCTGAGCAGAAAGGATATCTGATGCTGGAACTCTGGGAAAGTCAGTTCTTTTTGGCTTAAATTTTCTTTTATCCATGCAGTTAAGGGGAGACAGGTACTCAGATGTCCATCTCCAGAGCTTCTGTCAGGTGGATACTAGAAGATTCTAGATGTGGAGGCAAAAGGGACTAGGACCTATAGGTAGCCTGAGGTTGGAGTCCAGGAGCTCCAGGGGGGTGTGCATTTTTTAATCATCATGTAATTGGGCAGCAATTACATCTGGGCTATTAGTTCAAATCTCTCTCTGCCCTTTGGCTGGCAGCCTGGCTTGCACCCTTCAAACTTAGAAGAAGACAGACACCAAAGTAGCTTCTCAGGGCAGGTATTAATGGCTGAGAGGTAGAAGAGGATTCTAAATGTGAGAAACTTTCCACTAAGGAAGTACATGGGTCTTTAGAGAAGGATAAGTTTCTAGAATGTCCATCAGGACATCTAGGATTGCCAAGGATGAAGGAAAGAGAGTCTGGCTCATTTGCAGTACAAAATAAATTCTGCTTTTCTGGAAGAACATTTGGCAACATAGAAATTTTAAGTGTTCTTAGCTCTTTAAACTATTTAGAGTATATTTATAAAAGTTGACCATATGTACAAGAATGTTCATTATAGCATTGTATATCATTTCAAAACAAAATGTTGAACTATAGAAAGCTGTGGTATAGCTGAGCAAGACAGTGTGTGCCTGTGATCCCAGAGACTCTGCATAATGAGGCAGAAGGATTGCAAGTTTGAGGCCAGCCTCGGCTATTTAGCAAGACTCTGTGTTAAAATAAAAAGGACTTGGGATATAGCTCAGTGGTAGAGTGCCCCTGAGTTTAATCCCCAGAACTAAAAAAAAAAAAAAAAAAAAATACAAGCAAGCTATGGTGCACTTATGGCATAGCCTCTCAATGAGTTAGTTTGCAGCAGTACAGAAAAATGAGGTGTACCTCTCCATACTGACGTGGGACTATTCTTGGGATAGAAGTGAAATAAGCAGAGAGTAGGAGATGGCACACTTCACCTACAGGCCGGATCCAGCCCATTGCCTCTTTTTGTACAACTTGTGCCTAAGAATGATTTTCACTTTTTTTTTTTTTTTTTTTTTTTTTGTAGTGCTGGGGATCAAACCCAGGGTCTTGTGTATGTGAGGCAAGCATTCTGCCACTGAGCTACATCATCAACCCCAATTTCTACATTCTTAAGTGGTTAAGAGAAGTTAAAAAAAATGAGCTGGGGGTTGAGGCAGTAGCTTAGAGGTAGAATACTTGCCTAGTATGTGTGAGGCGCTGGATTTGATCCTTAGCACCACATAAAAATAAATAAATAAAATAAAGGCATTGTGTCCATCTACAGCTAAAAATATTTTTTATTTAAATGAGCTGGGTGTGGTGGCATACTCCTGTAATCACATGTGTGTGGGAGGCGAGGGCAGGAGGATTGCAAATTCAAGGCCAACCTTGGCTAACTTAGTGAGACCCTGTCTCAAAATAAATACATAAAAAGGACTGAGGATATAGCTCAGTGGTAAAACGCCTCTGGATTCAATCTCTAGTACCAAAAAGAAAAAGCAAGGAATTCACTTTTTAGAGTCCATAATGTTTCATTGGCACACAGCCACACCCATTCACTTACGTATTGCCCATGGCTGTACTTGCGCTCCTCCAGAGTTGAGTAAATGGGACAAAGCCCAAAACATTATCTGGCCCTTTATAGAAAGTTTGCTGACCTCTGGAGCATAGTGTGGTTCCTCTGTGTGTTCACACGTGAGTTTTTGCCTTCGGTTTTTTCCTCTGGATGTTGTTTCCCTTGCAGAAATAGACTTATTTTTCATTTTGCATCATTTTTTTCAATTTTCATTTCCTAACTTATGTATTTGTTTTCTTTTTTTTATGTCAGTGGACTTTTGGTCGGGGATTATGGAACATTCGCTGTAACTTTTTGCTTTTTTTTTTTTTTTTTTTTAAAGTGGTCACTGAGGAAGGAGAGCAGGGGAAGCCAGGCCTGGTTTGAGGTTTTCCTTTCTTTCCAGGAAGAGGCCACCTGCCTGCTCTGTAGTCTTGCTGTGGAAACTCTGAGGCCTGTATTTGTGCCTCTGTTGGCTTGAATGGTCCCTTTCTCCCTGCCCTGCAGACCTCTCCCCTGCACCTGTAGGGAGTGAGCTCAGAGGCAGCCAGCCCTGGGCTTCAGACAGAGGGTCCTGCACCCCAGTGTCCTTCCATGATGCCCTAGAACAATATCCCCATGGAGAGCCTCTATAGCCTGCCTTTTTGGTTTTGTTCTTGGGAATTTTCTTGAGTTAGGGAATGGCACAGCATGAGGTGCTGATATGACTAGAATACCAACTCCCCCAGGAAGCAGGTGAGAGAATGCCTCTTTTCTGCAGGCAGAAACTCACATGTGTGAAAAGTGGGGAAAGCCAAAGGATTACAAAAGGACCCAGGTTTCCCAGTGTGCTGGATCAACCCATAGAAACCATGTGGTCAGAGAAGAAGAGACTCACTCGCCTGAGATCTTTCAGCAAGTAAGTTGGCAAAACTGGGCTTGAAGCCACGTGTCCTGACTTCTGTCAGCAAGTAAATTTGAGGTCAGACTTGGAACCTGGACATTCGTTGCTTAAGCCTACCAAAGCTGCCAGGTTGACATAAGTCCCTAGGAATTATGGACTTTTGCCTTGGTCGGTCCTGCTTTATAGTTAGGAGTCAGGGTTCTATGTGCCCCACCTCTGAATTAGACTGAGCCCTGACTGAGGGCACAGCTCCTGTCTTGCCAGCTCTGGCCCCATGGTGTATAGTAGATGTTTGCTGAGTTGAGGCATCATTATGAGACATCGAGATACTTAGGCATTTGTTAATGAAGCCACCTCCACAACTCCTGTCCCATGTGCTGACTGCACTGGGTACCAAGAGTCCTTTTACTTCAAATATACCTGACACCTCCATGCTCAGATTAGAATCAGCGGTATCTTTTTTTTTTTTTCTTACAGTACCAGGTATGGAACTCAGGGCCTCATGCATGCTAGGCAAGGGCTCTACCATTGAGCTACACCCCCAGTCCTTTTTATTTTATTTTGAGAAGAGGTCTTGCTAAGCTGCCTAGGTTAACCTTGAGCATATCCTCCTGCCTCAGCCTTCAGAGAAGCTGGGATAATAGGCGTGCCACCACCATGCCCCACTAGGTCCTGGGCACAGATCAGGAGCATGTCACTGTCAATACTGATGGGCCCAATGTCAGGGTCCTCTGCTGTACATGCCAGCCCAGAGACCTGAGCCACCAATGCCCTGTGCCTTGCCTTGTCATGGTTTGAGTCCCTGACTGATAGATCCTCTTAGAATCTTCTTTGCTTTCCTGTGGAGCCATCATCATATTCTCCACTATAAACTTCAGCTCTTCTGCGGTCACTCAGCTATAGGTTCCAGCTGGGGCTTTTCTACTTTGTTTGCATATACCAGAATTGCGCCAACCAATATGATAGCTGCTAACCCATTCAACTTTAAGGTAATTAAAGTTAAATAAAACCAGAAATTCAGTTCTTTGGTCACATCAGCCACCCTCGAATGCTCAATGGCCACGTGTGACTGGTGGCTATTATGCTAGACAGCTCAGACAGGACCATTTCTGTCACTGCAGAGAGTTCTGTTGGATAGTGCTGTAGAGTAGTGGTTTTCCACCGAGGCAGTTTTGCCTCTCACAGGACAATGGACAATGTCCAGAGACACTTTTTGGTTGTCAAACCAAGAGGTGGTGGTGCTGCTGCCTAATGATTGTAGTGGGTGGAAGACAAGGATGGAAGTGGGAACTGGGGCCACGAGATTTGTCTCATCCTTTTGCTGCAGAGTACTTTCTGCACAGTTTCTTTTGATAATCTGCCCAAGAAACTACCTGGGCCAGACTAGGATCCTAAAAGTAGAAGTTGAAGTGTCACCCCCAAATTCTGTTTCTATTTCCCTTCCCTGCCTCTGCAGGAACTCCATACTCCAATTTAGGAACTCCATACTTCTGATTGGGATTCTCTCTTTTTTTGGGGGGGTGGTATACCTGGGATGAACTCAGGACACTCAACCACTGACCCACATCCCTAGCCCTATTTTATATTTTATTAGAGACAGTCTCACTGAGTTACTTAGCACCTCGCCGTTGCTGAGGCTGGCTCTGAACTTGCGATCCTCCTGCTTCAGCCTCTCGAACTGCTGGGATTACAGGTGTGCGCCACTGCGCCTGACTAGATTGGGATTCTTGATGTCTCTTTAGGAGGGAAAAACAAATCAGACTTTCAACTGGTTTCAGGAAAGAATCTCTATAAATGCTAGACAAAATGTAGACTGTGCCAGGTGTGGAGGTGCACCCCTGTAATCCCAGTGGCTCAGGAGGCTGAGGCAGGAGGATTACAAGTTCAAAGCCAGCCTTGACAATTTAGTGAGGCCCTAAGCAACTTAGCATGATCCTGTCTCTAAATAAAATATAAAAAAGGGCTGGTTGGGGGGTGGCTGACATTGTAGCTCAGTGGCAGAGCACTTGCCTAGCATGTATGAGGCACTGGGTTCAATCCTCAGTACCACAGAATAAATAAATTAAATAAAGGTATTGTGTCCATCTACAACTAAAGAAAAAAAAAATAAAAAGGGCTAGGGATGTGGTTCAGTGGTTAAGTACCCCTGGTTTCAATCCCCATTACCAAAAATGAAAATAAAATAAAAATGCAGACTGCTTTATGGAATAGGGTCTTAGCCAGGTCTCAGTCTTATCACACAAAAAAGTTCAAGCTAAAAATGTTAGAGGTAGGGCTGGGGATGTAACTCAGAGGTAGAGAGCACAACTTAGCATATGTGAGGACTAGGGTCCAATTCCCAGTACTGAAAAGAGAAAGAAAAGAAAGATACAAAAACTATTCTTAGGGTTCTCTGCAGGAGAGCAAGCAAAGAGCTGCCTTTCAGGAATGTTGTAGTATACAGGAGACTGATGTGTGTGTGTGTGTGTGTGTGTGTGTGTGCGCGTGCGCGCGCGCGCGCGCGCGATGGTGGTTTTTTTTTTTTTTTTTTTGTGGTACTGGTGCCCAGCTCTGCTTCTGTCAGGTCCCGTGAGGGTGTAAGAGAAAGCCCAAGAGAGTTCCTGGCCTTGAGGTGTTTGTGACCTACCAGGCAGGGCTCCTGGGCATTTGCTGGGAAAAGGTCAGGGTGAATGAGTGAATAGTTTTAATTATTTAGTAACTTAGAAAGTAATACCACATGCTTTAAAAAAAATGTATACAGACCCACACCCAGCCCTTGGCTCCCAGGACCTTTTGGCTGAGTGAATGAAGATGAAAGAACAAAGCCTGCAGGGCTGGTGACTCAGATCAAGTTGGTATCCCTATAAAACCAGAAAAACGAGCCTGGGCCTGCCCTACAGCACTGGGGGCCAGGTCACTGCCAGGAGAGGTGGCTGCTTCAGTGGGGCCAGAGAGGGGCTTGGGGAAGGACCTGCCCATCACATGTTCTTCACTGTACCCTTCAGGTGAAGACACTGACCTAGGAGGCTTCCTCACAATGTGACTGTGAAGTGTGGGAGGATACACAGGCTGAGAGGCTGAGGTCAACTAAAGTGCTTAGCTTAGCAGGAATCAAGTAGGACTATTGCCCAGGGTGGGAGGCCTCATAGACCCTGGGTGGGGGGTGCAATATGAAGGCTCTGAGACCTTGAGTAGAGGAAAGAAAGGTAGAGCCAAGAGGAAGGAGGGAGCCCTTGAACAAAGGGAATGCCAATTGGGAATATTTCTGAAGACTGGCATTAAGGTATAGACCCTTTGAGAGTTGGCAGGAAGTTTGGGAGTTGGGGAGAATGAGGGCACTAGATCCTCAAGAAGCAACTTTCCAAAATTCAGAGTAGAGAAGATGAACCAGGGATGGTCTCTTTCTTTCTTGGTATTGGGGGTTGAAACTGGGGTGCTTTATCACTGAGCTACATCCCGGCCATTTTTATTTTTATTTTGAGACACAGGCTTAGTGAGTTACTAATTGTGATCTTCCTGCCTTAGCCTCCCAAGTCACTGGGATTATGGGGGTTTGCCATCATATGTGGCTTGGGACATTCTTAACTAGCCAATAGATCAGGATGGTTGGGAAGCTCTCAGACATGAAAGACAGCCATTCCCATGAGAAAGAGGAGGCAGTGTGTGAGCAGCTGCCTGGGAAGCCCCCTACTGAAGGAGATGGAAAGCAGTTAAATAGAAAGGAAGACACGCTGCGGCTGGGGTTATGGCTCAGTGGTAGAGCGCTTGCCTAGCATGTGTGAGGCACTGGGTTTGATTCTCAGCACCACATATAAATGAATAAAGGTCCATCAATAACCAATAAAAATTAAAAAAAAGAAAGGAGGACACGTGACCAAAGATGAAGTTAGAGCACAGAACAGAGGCCCCCAGAGTGAGCTGAAGTTTATGGGGAAATTTAGGAAGAACAAAATGACTCTACATATCAATATTGGGGAAAAGAATAATGGAACAGTGTCTGGAGCTTGAGGCCAGTGGTGTGACATCGGTGGGGGATGGGAGGAATCCCTTGTGTCCCATTTCATTTCATCTTCCTTTTGAGGTTTAAAAGTAGGACAAACAGTGGTTGGAGATCCCTGAACCCAGGTTGGGTGATTCATCTCCTAACCTGGACTAGTTCTGGTCTGGGGTACTGAGGTCACAGAGAGTTGGTTGGTGGCCTTCAGAATGTGTTGGAAAGAAATACCAGAGGAGCCAGAAACTGGAGATGGCTAATGTCCATTTATCAAAAAGGTGAAGGAAGGGCTGGGACTGGGGCTCAGTGGTAGAGCACTTGCCTAGCATGTGTGAGGCACTGGGTTCAATTCTCAGCATTGCATTATAAATAAGTAAAATAAAGGTCCATTAACAACTAAAAAATATTTTTTTAGAGAATTTTTTTTAATATTTATTTTTTAGTTTTCAGTGGACACAACATCTTTGTATGTGGTGCTGAGGATCGAACCCGGGCCGCACGCATGCCAGGCAAGCGCGCTACCGCTTGAGCCATATCCCCAGCCCCTAAAAAATATTTTTAAAAAAGGTGAAGGACGTGGGCTTTACAGATTACTACAGACAGGCTGTGAATGCTTTAAAAAGCATTTTGGAAATGGGTATCTCTGGGGCTAGGTAGTGCTTACTAGGAAAGGCATATTGATTGTAGTTTATCTTGGATATGAGGTAGTAGTTTGGGATTTAGATAAGACCTTTGATGGAATTTTATGACATCCTCCAGGACCATCTGGGAACATTGTCAGCCTGTTTATAAACTCATGAAACACCTTACTTAGAGTTCATTCTTGATTCTTTCTCACCCCCAACTCCAACCCACACCCCAAGGCAGTGGATCCTGTGGAATATCTCTGCCCTTGTCCTTATCCTTGATGCTGATTTGGATTAGTATCTCTGGGGGCTACTGATGGTTACATGAATGCCTAGAGGTGCAATAGGATTGAGATCTCAGGATCTCCCAGTAAACTGACAAACTACGGGCCAGTCTAGTGAGGGAGGATTTACGAGGGAAGAGTGAGGGACTACTTTTGGGACCAGAAAGATAACTGCTCATGTACAGTCTGAGGCTGGTGGCTTAGCAGCAGCATGGATGAAAACTTTTTGAGTTTTTGGTGATTGCAAGCTGCGTATACATCAGCAGGGGGGACATAGCCACCAGAGTTGCCCTCGTGGGCTCAGCTGCATTGATAGACACGTGGGGCTGTGATACTCCATGGGAGTTTGGTAGTAAGTAGGGACACCTGCTTGAACTCCTGCAGGCAGAGTAAGTACTTCCCACCTTTGAGTTTTTCAGTTCTGGAAATTTTAATTTTATTTCTTTTTTTGGGATTGGGATTTCACCATGTTTCCTGGAGTGGCCTCGAATTTGTGATCTTCCTACTTCAGCCTCCTGAATAGTGAGGATTATAAATGTGTGCCACCACACCTGGCTTTATTTTTACTTTTTTGATTTTCTCACCTCTGTTTTTCAGTTCTTTCCTTCTGTGATTCATTATTAGATTTTTTGCTTCCTGTATTGTCTCTTCTGATTTTCACATCTTTAATCTGTCATTATCCAACTTTTATCTTTTTGTTCTACTTTCCAGAAGATTTATTTTAAACTTGTATTGAGTTTCTTATTTCACTCTGATTTTAATATCCAGGAGCTTTTTTTTTTTTGTTCCCTGAATATTCATTTCTTAAAAATAGCATTATGTTCTTGTTTCTTTAATGTGAACTCTAACCTTTAAATTTTCTTCTCCCAGCATTGTCTCTGAGTTTCTGTTTTCTGCTAATCTAATTTCTGTTGCTAAAGGTCTTTCCGCAAATGTCTGATATTCCTTGGCTCTTTCTTTTTGGGTGGGAAAAGCAGATTTTTGGAAACTATTGTCACTGCTAGGGACCCCACTGCCCTGTACTCAGCTGGGATGAGATGTTCTGACAGATTTAGTATCTGAAGGTTTCCTTCCCCACTATACCCCTGTGTTCCCAGGATCATTTGGGTTTTCCAGAAAAGACCTCACCAGTCTTCTGCCTGGTAGACCCAGCATTCTTAGGATATAGTAAAATTCTCTGGCAGCCTGTAGATACTTCTGTTGCAGAATTTCTCCTTTGACGTCTGTCTGCCAAGTGTTCCAAATCTGACAACACTTGGGATGGAGAAGGGTGATATGTTGGCAGTTTGGGATGGTGCTGGGGGGCTTCACTGTCCTTTGGCAGATGGTGCAGTCCATCTACATTCAGCTGTCTGTCCCTCCCACCTTCCCAGGTACTCAGCACCTCCAATTCCTGAGATTTCCTTGGGCTCCTTGTCTCTAATGGGCTTTTTTCTTAGCTGCCTTGTAGGTTTTTGGAATTTGGTTTTTAAATCTCATCTCATCTGATCTCATTTCATCTCTAATACTTCTTTCCACTTCTATCTTAATGTATTGACGTGTCCTAGTGGCTGTCATTTTTTCCTCCTTTTTGTTCTTGGGAGTTTTAACTGGAAGTTTATTCTGTTTAACCTTTATGTATCTTTGGTTTGAAATGTGTCTTTTTAGACAACCTATTGATGAATTAAAAAACATTCAAGATGAGCATTTGAATTTTGATCAGGAGTGCAACTCATTATATATTTACGCTAATTCCTATTACACTACTAATTTTGCCATCTTTCTCTCTCTCTCTCTCTCTCTCTCTCCAGTACTGAGGATTAAACCCAGGGAGCTCCACATCCCACTGAGCCACATCCCTAGTCTTTTAAAAATTTTTTATTTTGAGACAGGGTCTTCCTAAGTTGCTGAGGCTGGCCTTGAACTTGTGATGCTCCTGCCTTGACCTTCTGTGTTATTAGGATTATAGGCATGCACCATTGCACCCTGTTACTTCTGCCATCTTACTTAATGCTTTCTACTTTCTGTCTGCTGCTGCTTCTCCTTTTTTGTGTAAATTGAATTTTCTTCTCCTGGTTTGAGAGTTTTACATTGTTATGGTTATGTTAACCATAATCATGGTTATGTTAATCATGGTTATGTTAACTTTTTATGTCTCACACTTCCCCATGAAGAAGTCAAGACCCTCAGCATGGTCCCCCTCCCTCTGCTCTTTCTGCCTGTGCAAGTGCAGTAGCTTCTCCAGGCCTGGATTCTATGGAGAGACAAGGCAACCCTGCTTACTTGCCATTTTGCTCAGAACTGGGCAAGGTTTGTTGAGGGCTATCTTAGAGGAGCCTCCAGTATTCTGGCGGTTTGGTTTAAAGGACCTCTAAAAAGTCCCTGAGGTTTGGAGCAAGTCCTGGGGATGGTAGATTCTTAGAGGAAGTGGTCAGGCAATGGACAGCTCAGTAGAGCCAGGAGCCCCAGACCTTCAATTGTTCCTTAGTTCTTCTCTGTGACATATCTGCCCCTGGTCCCAGCTTTGCTCTCAGTTGCTGTGTAGACTATGGCTACCCCCACTCCCTGTACTAAAGACAGAAAACAACAGGAAAGTGGGCCTCAGGGGGACAGTAGGAGGAGTAGTGACTAGGCTGAATTGGCATGGGCATTGTAAGGTCCTTGCTTAGCATCTGGATGGCCATCTTAAGTGACAGCCACCATTTTAAGAAAAATTTTGCTTTCCTGCTCAAGGGCCTGTCTGAGAGAGGCTCACCACTCCCTCATACCAACCCCACCCTTAACCACTCACATTAGGACCCACCTGGCCCCATAAAAGTCCCGAACCCCAAGCCTGTTTTGCCTCTCTCTGTCTATTGAGAGATGGCCTTTATTTGTCAGCTCTGATAAATAAACTCTCGTGTGTATCTCGGCCTGGTCTCCGTCTTTCATTTCTCGCTCACCTGACTCCTGGTTCTTCACTTTCCTTTCAGACATGCCCCATCCAAAGGAGCACCCTGACCAATGCCACCAAATCCTTATCAAGTAGGAATGTGGATCCAACAGCACCAGAGTTTTTGCTTTTGCACGAGAAGTCAGGAAATTGAATTTCCTGCGTGAAATCTTCCAATCTCCATATTAGCTCACAATTGTTTATAACCTGTGCAGGACACACAGAGTGTCTGCAGGCTGGCTCTGCTCCAGATATTGTTGCCCTTGCCCATTGCCATGGTTAGTCATTGATTCTGTCCATGTCACCTTTGGTTCTTTTCCCTCTGGGACTCAGTGTCCTCTCCTAACTCAGTGGTTTCCCCCAAAAGTGTGGTTTCCCACACCCTTCCCCTCCAGCCACTCCTCTGGTCCCCTTTGTTACTTTGCCAACTAGTTAGTCTGACATCTTTTACAGATGATGGCCAGCCCATCTAGGGCCTTTCACACTATGTGTGTGTGCTTTTTCTCTCAGCCATTTGTTCTTTGGAGCAGGTTAAACACCTTCTTTGTTTGTATTAGTGATTTGTAAATGGGTCAGGTAAAGGGAAACTCATTCTCCCCTATGAGTGTTGGGCACACAGGGTTGGCTTTCTGGGAGCCTGACTGCAGCCTGAGCCCACGAGTCCTGTTCCTAGAAATAGAGAAGAAACTGCTCTCACTGGTGTGTGGATGCAGACTTAGCTTGCCAGTCCCAGATCTTGTGCCTTGGCCTGCAGAGGGCAGGACTGCCATGTGGCACAGAGCTGGTGAGCTGTTTCGTGCGCCCCTCCTGCCTTCAGTGGCCTCACTAGTTGCCTTGGGTTCCCTGCCTCGGCCCCTGGCCTCACTCTGCCTAAGTGGCAAGAGTTGCCGCTTTATATGCACTGGATAGTTTGTGACTCAGTCCTCAGTGGCCCCTCAGATGGGGAAGTGAAACAGCTGCACCTGGCCAGGCCTGACCTTTGGGTGACAGCGGAAGTAGCTGTACAAACATGGGGCTCACTGCTCTGGGGAAGTCCTCTCTTCAGCCAGACTGTGAGGAAAACGTCTGCCTGCCTGGCCCGTGTGTGGCCTCCAAGTCTGTAGCTCCAGTAACAATTTCTCCCTCCTTTTCTCTCCTTTCCTCTACTTTTTCTTGGTGACAGCTGGAAGTCACAGTGGTCACAACTGAAAGAGCCAAACATTTCTACAACCCCCAGGACATTCCTGTCACCCTCTACAGTGACTCTGATGAATGGGAGGTTAGTGCTGGGCCCCTAGGGCTGAGTTTCGTTGCATTTCTACCAACAGGACAGAACTGTCCTCCCTTAGCCTATGGTCCTGGCGGCCAGAGCAGACAGGCTGGGCTGAAGTCAGCGGTCAGGGCCATCTGGGCAAAGGCGAAGAGGAAAACATCTGTCTAGCTTCTGGCCTGCGGGAGGCCCACAGTCCCTCCCTTCCCAGGCAGAGCTCAGCTTTGGCCCAGTGCCTGAGGTTGAGTGTCCTTGTACTTATCTGGGCTGATGAAACCACAGAGGAGCTCTGTTCCCACCACCCTTGTCCACGTGGCTCCTGGCGTCAGGGCTGTGGAAAGTGCCTCACTTCCCATGGCCTCCAGGCTCTGCCTCTGCCCTCCTGTGGAGGGGCGGGCACTAGCTGACCCACCAGACGCGGAGGGTGGGCCTCACAGGGATGCCCTGCCAGGCATTTTTAAACATTCTCAATCTTGAACATTTTTGGCTGGCTTCTTCTCCCAACCCCGCCCCCTCCATTTCTCATCGCCCCAGAGCCCTTCCACTGGCTTGGACAATCCAAGCATCCGCCTCAAGCAGACAGGCCAGGAGTTCCCTGCCAGATGTCAGTTCTGTTGAAAACCAAACCATAAAGGGAATAGCTGAGAGAGACAAGGGGCGTTTGTTTCCTCAGGCCTGGTTTCTGTCAGGCTGCTGGCTGCTTGGCCAGTGCTTGCCAGCCGAGCTGTGAGAGGGAACTGTGGTGGATTTGAGCAGGGAGGTCAGGTGGTCTCCCTGGGTTCCTGGTTTGTACCTGGATTGCTTTGGTCCCCTCCCCCTATCACATAGAGAGTGACACTGTTTCCTCCCTCTGCCAGATGTGGAAGCACCGCTCTGACCCAGTTCTCCACGTTGATCTGCGGAGGTGGGCTGACCTGATGCTAGTGGCTCCTCTCGATGCCAACACCCTGGGGAAGGTGGCCAGTGGCATCTGTGACAATTTGCTTGTGAGTGACTCCCTGGCATCCTCATCCCTCCCTCTCCCACTTTTCTGAGCTGCAGACTTCCTTGTACAAGAAGACCTATTACTTTGGGACCCAGGTTTGCTCAGGAAGAATGTGGTGCCCCTGGCTCCACTGCCCCTAGGGGGACTAGTCTCCAGCAAGTGGGCAGCAGACCTGGGCCTGCAGATCCATTGGACTTGCTGATGCTCTCTGGGTGTGTCCACCTCTTGCCTACCTCCCAGTGCTCAGTCAGATGCCCAGCCTTGGCCCCATGCTTTCTTTGTCTTCCATCATGGCTGCCTTCTGCTGTCCATTCCCTTCCCCTTCAGCTCTGCCTCACCAGGATCTGGATATATGCACATGTGGGTAATCTGATAAGGGTGCTTACTTCCTCATAGATCTCCAATAGAAACATATTTCTTGTAGCTCTTTAGCCCCAAGGCTAAGACTCAGTTTTCCTGTGTATTAGACAAAGTTTAGAGAGAAAAGAAGAAAAAGTCAGAACAAGAGATAATTGCCTATGAACGGTGGAGGAGAGGTTCAGATATACAAAAGTAGGAATTGGCTTAGGCCTCTGTGACAACCAGGGAACTGTCACTCTTAAAGAGGATCTGCTGGTCTCCTGATTTGATTATATGATCATCCTGGAACTATTTGGGTGTGATTTTTCTACTTCCTCTCTCTTTCTTATTACCTTTCCCCCATATATTAAGCTTTTACCTCCCATGTCCTAGGGACTGTGCTAAGGACACAGAGGGCTTTCATTATGGAAGAAGAGTAGTTTTTTGTTTTTGTACTGGGGATTGAACCTAGGAACATTTTACCACTGATATACAACCTCTGTCTTTTTTTTTTTTTTTTTTTTTAATTTTGAGGCAGTGTCTCTAAGTTACTAAGAATCTCACTGAATTCTTGAGGCTGGCTTCAAACTTTTGATTCTCCTGACTCAGATTCTGTGTCACTGGAATTATTATGGGCCCTGGCAGAAGAGGGTTTTTTATCATAGTCACGTGTATAGTGACTGATGGATGATGATGGTCTTAAGTGACCATTAGTCAGTCCATTTTTTAAAAATTCAGTACTGGAAATTGAATTCAGGGGTACTCTACCACTGTGCTATGTCCCTAACCCTTTATTTTTAATTGATTTTTATTTTGAAACAGAGTCTCACTGAACTGCCCAAACTGGCCTTGAGCTTGAGATCCTCCTGCCTCAGCCTCTTTAAGTAGCTGGGATTAAGGTCATGCACTACCACACCAGGCCCCAGTTAGTCCTTTGATAGTAGAGTCACTGCCTTGCTTTACTGAGAATGTGGTAGACATTCAATAAAATACTGTATGTATGTGGTCAGAAGTAATTTTCCATATGTCAACAGCTGGGAGTTTTTTAGTTTACCATGGTGAAAAAGGTGAATACTAAAGCTGGATTAGGGTTTTGTGGGGGTCAGATAAGAGATAATTAGTGAGCCTGTCAGTGAGCCCCACTGTGCCGACTGTCAGGGGGCTCTTGAGGCCTTCCTGGGGAATCTACTAGTGACTTAAGCATCTCTTGACCAAGAGCACAGGTTGAGCAGAACACGCCTGGATGGTGTGGCCCTGAGCAAGTGCAAAGAAGGAGATCTGAGAGCAGCATTATCAACATGGCCCAGTAGGAGTGGGTGCAGTGACACAGGCCTGTAATCCCAGCAACTCAGGAGGCTGAGTCAGGAGGATCAAAGCCAGCCTCAGCAATTTAGTGAGGCCCTAAGCAACTTAGCAAGACCCTATCTCAAAAAGGGCTGGGGATGTGGCTCAGTGATTAAGCACTCCTGGGTTTAATTCCTGGTACAAAGGGAAAAAAAAGGGACTGGAGCTATAGCTCAGTGGTAGTGTGCCTGCTTCACTTGTGTGAGGCACTGGGTTTGATCCTCAGCACCACATAAAAATAAACAAAGATATTGTGTCCATCCACAACTAAAATAAGAAAGATAGAAAGAATGCCCAGTAGTGTTGGAACCTGGCCAGCAGGCACTAAAACAAAAGAAATACCCTGTTGCTTTTCTTGAAGCAGCTCAGAGTGGGGTGGTCTGTACCATCCCACCAAACTCTCAGATTCCCACTGCCTGGTCAGGGGCGTCTGATGTGCTGTAGCACACCCACCTCAGAGTTCAGTCTCGGCCAACCTCTAAGAGTTCTGTCTCCTGAAAGCTCTACGTCCTTTTTTTTTCCTTCAAGGCCATTGCCACTCCCTGAAATTTTGGGGGTTCTCTCCTCCAGAACTGGCAGTAGAATATGTTCCCAAGTCTGGCTATTTGCCTCAAAGGAATTCACTTGAAGGCGCAAATGTTTCAAAGAATATCAAATGTTATAAAAATTGAACTGTCAGCATCCTTGGTATGTGGGTTGGTGTGCTTTCCTTTGATGAGGGCTTAGAAACCCTAGCCCAGCCCCCGTCTCCATACCACACACACACACAAGGGGCTCTTCTAGGTATGCTCAGGACTTCTGCAGAAGTATCAGGTGGCATGGGGCCAAGAGGAAGTGTGACTGAAACTATCCACTCATAACCCTGTTGCACATTCAGAGGACTTGATGGGAAACGAATGCTAGTGTCTGGGATGACGCAAGCAGACAAATCCTGAGGCTCTTTGCTGTCCTGGGAGAGGGCAGGGGCACCAAGGGATCAGGCTCTAGCCTGGCCTGTGCATAGCATTGTTCTCTGCACATCCTCTTCTTTTTCCAGATGGACTTCTGGGGAGGAGTGTTCCAGCCACTGTCTCCCCAAGGAGCTCCTGGCCAAGAGGAGGTGCCTGGTGTAGTTAGAGCACAGGGAAACTTATTTCCCCCTGAGGCAGCCCCCAACCTAATAAGCCTGTCCTGTAGTAATAACAGGAACCACCGCCCTGAAAGCCTGTTCTTGGTACCATTCCCTATGCTAAGAATTTTGAAAGCATTCACACCCTCAGTCTTCACAGCCACCCAGTAAGGGGGCCCTTTTGCAGAGGAAGCTGAGGCCCTGGCATTAAACAATTTGTCCAGGTTCTCACAAATAGTTTTTATACACACACACACACACACACACACACACACTTGATTTATGCAACCTCAGAACTCAAAGCCTATGGCATTAAGGACTCAGAGCTGTTAGGCTCTTCCGCAGCTACTCTGGTCTGTACCTCAGTGGGATGGCCTGGCTTCAGGAGACAATAAGGTTGCCCAGTGCAGTGAAAGGTTACACGGGCTGGTGTTTGTCCAGGTGTGACTTTGGGCAGCAGTTCACCCTGCAGGGAACTATGGCTTGCCCATCTGTGAAAGGGGCAGGGCTTTTCTCCTAGGGTCACAATGAGGGTTCCTGAAATAAAGTATGAGAGAAGGTGTTTGTCATGTGTTGGATGTTTTCATTGCCATGGTTTAATTGGCTCAGAAGTAGAGTTGGTGCTAGGTAGGTCTCCCTATTAGCCGTCTGGTCCCTAACTTTCTGGTGAACTGCGACACCTGCCTCTTGCTCCCTAGGGTTGCTTCTACCTAGGAGACACAAGCCAGTATGGAGAAGGGTCAAGCTTAGATGCGGGGAGACTACACACAGGAGGGAGGTCTGCTGGAGGTGGCTGAGCCATTGAAGGCGTTGGTTGAGCACTTGCTGTGTGTAGTGCCTGTGCCAGAGCTTGAGGAAAGATGGTGAGGTTTGAGGAGTCCCCTAACCCCAGGGACATGAGACAGGTGGCACCCAGTCATCCTGAGCCTCCGACTGGGCTGCTGACTGTAGCCTGGAGGACAGTGGGGATGGTTTACGAGGGCTAGGAAGGGGTGGTAGGCAGAGGAGCAGGACCTCCCCCTTCTTCACAGACGTGTGTCATCCGGGCCTGGGACCGCAGCAAACCCCTGATCTTCTGTCCTGCCATGAATACCGTCATGTGGGAACACCCCCTTACTGCACAGCAGATGGACCAACTCAAGGCCTTTGGCTATGTGGAGATCCCCTGTGTGGACAAGAAGCTGGTGTGTGGAGATCAAGGTAGGTATCTTATCAGGCTTACATCCCATGACTATGGAAGGGGCTCAGCTTTGGGGTTCATATTCTGGCCTGTAGTGACCTCGGGTAGAACTATTCTCTGAGCTCAATTCTTTTGTCTGGAAAATGAGAATCCTAATTCTTGCTTCTCAGAGTTGTTAGGATAAAATAACATATATCAAATGCTTAGTAGAGGCTGGGCTTGGTGGTGCATGCCTATGATCCCAGGGACTTGGGAGACTGAGACAAGAGGATCGCAAGTTTGAGGCCAGCCTCAGCAACTTAGCAAGACTCTGTCTCAAAATAAAAACAGGCTGGGGATGTAGCTCAGTGGTAGAGCACTCCTGAGTTCAATCTTTAGTATTACAAAAATAAGTAAAAGTGCTTGTTAGAGTCGCTGGCATTTAGCATACACACTGTCAAGGATGACTAGTGGAATGATTCCTGGGGACTATTCTAGGGTGTCTTAGGAGGGGTTTGATGGGTCTTGTTGGTGCAGTGATGGGCCTGGCCTTTTTAGGCCTTCGTCTCTGGATGTGATGTGATGGGGAACTTTGGGCAGGGGGCTGCAAGCATTGTTAGCTGTCCGGCCCTCCCTTGATTACAGCACAGAACTTTGCTCCCAGGTCTGGGCGCTATGGCTGAGGTGGAGACCATTGTGGATAAAGTGAAAGAAGTCCTCTCCCAGCACAGCAACGTCCAGCAGAGTTGAACTGATTTCTGTTATGGGTGTACCTCTGCACTCAGTGTGTTTTCAGGCCAAGATGGTGAAGAAGGGCATCATCAAAATATGGTGAAGATGTGGCTGGGGCTGTGGGTCAGTGACAGAGCGCTTACCTTGCAAGCGCTGGGTTTAATTCTCAGCACCATATAAAAACAAATAAATAAATAAATAAAGGTCCATCAATAACTAATAAAAATTTTAAAAAATATATGGTGAAGTGCTGCCCCCAACCTGCGCGGGCAGCTGAACTTAAGGTCGCTCATATGATTTTCCAGGGACACCAAATAAAACACAGACACACTTTACCTTTAAACAAACTTCTGGATGGCTCCACTGTCTGCCTCAGGCTCCCCAAAAGGGAAAGCAAGAGAAAGTCAGGCGAGAGAGGCTGGTGAGAGAGAGAAAGAGAGAGTGTGTGCGTGCTTGAGCGGGAGCATGTTCAGAAGTGGGCTTTTATTGGGGGGACTCTTGTTCTTTAGAAAGTTCTCCGAAAAAGGCCAGAAGGGGCAGGGTTACAAGCAACAGATGAGTGTAACTCAACCTCAGGGTTGACACCTACATCTGAAGACACACCTACTTCTTGGGCTGAGACAACGCCCAAGTCACTACAAAATGTAGTGATTGATTAGAGCCTCTTGCTTCAGGACTGGAAGGTGGGTCATTCAGAGTGGCTCCCCACAGTGAAGATTCCTGCATTTGCTCAAGAGGCCTCTGACCTGCTCCAGGTTATACAGGACCAAAGGCGCAACTTCTTTCAACCAGGGGGTGCCTGCTTTCTATAACCCCTCCCCATCTCTTCCTGGGAGGGGTACAACAAGCTAGGAGAGAAAACTGCTATATGTCCCTGAACACCTGGGAGGACTAAGTGACTGGGAGACTTCTATTTTTTCTCTTGCCCAGGAATTGCTTTTTGAAATACTAGCTGCAGGTCCCTGGCATGGCAGGCCCCTGGCCAGGCCTCGGGAGCTTCCATTTTCTGATGAGGTGCCCAAGTGTCACACAGTCAGGAAATTTGTGAGGTGGCAGGACTCTCAGATTTTCCACAGACCATGCTATGAATTTGGGGATTCTGGGAAATTAAAAAAAAAAATGTGATCTTTTAGGAGATTCTGTCCTTTCTTTACAACCCATCTATGGTCTCAGAGATTTGAAGGCATTGATGGATCAGGCCAGGGAAAACGTAGGGTGATGACTGACTAGCACTCTCCTGTCCCCATATAATAAGAGTACATATGGACAAAAAGCCCTGAAGCCAGACAGACCCTATTCAAATCTCAGCTCTGCCACTTATCACCGGTAGACCTTGGCTTGGGACTTTCCCTTTCTGATCCTCACTTTCTGCATCTGTATTATCATCCTTCCCTTGTGAAACTGTTGAGATTAAGTGAGATGATGTGTGCAAAATACAGGTGTCCCCTTTATCCTCTGGAGACACATTCCAAGACTCCCAGTAGATGCCTGAAACCACATATAGTACTGAACCCTATTAATACTATGCATTTCCCCACACATAACATACCTATGACAAAGTTTAACTTGGAAATTAGGCACTGTAAGAGATTAACAACAATAGCTAATAATAAATTAAAATAATTAAAATATGCTGTAATAAATGTTGTGTGAATGTGGATTCTCTTTCTTAGCAACGTCAGCATTCAATTTCTTTTTTCTTTCCTTATGAAGTCAAGAACTTTCACTTCTTCACGTAAAGGAAGCACCTAACAGCTTCTCATTCTGAATTGCTAGCTTCACCATTCTGCGATTTGGGTTACTTGAACACAAGTATTGTGATAAAACAATAATCTGAAACCAAGATAGCGTGTACTGACAAATTTATACTAACAAAGAACAGGCAGTGTGACTTTTCACTTAATATTTTCAGACTGGGGTTGACCACAGGTAACTGAGACCATGAAAAGCCAAAACTGTAGGTAAATGGGGTCTGGAATGCAGTAACTGTCAAGAAAATGGAAGTTAAAGCTAGACATGTATATATGCCAAGAGCTTTCCTAACATTTACTGAAATAGTCCATCTCATTTTTGGAAAAATTAAATCCCAGATCCTAAGGTGACATGACTCCTTAGGCAAATGAGGGGCAAGTAGTCAGCAGGGTTGGAAGCTGCATTGAGTCCTAGGTCCCTTGCTTATTTCCTGGTTTCTCGGTTGTCCTCATCCTTTCCTCTTGGTTGCACCTGCAACAGGGGCCTGGGTGTTTACCAATGCAGACTAGTCTCCAAAGAGACCCTGTACTCTAACCTAAAAACCCCCTGCTGCCCTGCTATTGATTAGGGGCTCTTTAGTGTGGCTACAGTGGTGAGGGCTTGACTGCCTATTTGTAACTGAGGTAGGGGCTAGCTCCTTGCTCTCCTGGCTTCCAGTTCAGGGGTAGGAAGCACATCATGCATATTCTGAGAGTACTGCAGGCATAGATGCTTTGAGGAACCAAGGCCTCCAGCAGTCTCCAAGGGTCTTTCTCTCACTGCAGTTGAATTAATCAAGTGACCCTTTGGGATACAATTACCCTAGGGCACAAAAAAAAAAAAAACCCAACTGAAATGGTAGCATCAAGAACCAACCTATCACCAAGTGGTGGCTTGCGAGGCTGAGGAAGGAGGATTTAAAGTTCAAAGATAGCCTCAGCAGCTTAGCAAGGGCCTAAGTAATTTAATGAGACTCTGTGTCAAAAAACAAAGGGCCAGGCATGCAGAGGCTCAGGATGTTGAGGCAGGAGGATGGCACATTCAAAGCCAAGCTCAGTAGCTTAACGAGACCCTAAAAAAAAAAGAATCTAGGAATGTGGCTCAATAGTTAAGCACACTGGTGTTCAGTCTCTGGTAACAAAACAAAACAAAAAAGCCAATTAACTTATTCCCAGGCAGAGTGGCACATGCCTATAATCATAGTGACTTGGGAGGCCAAGAGGATTGAAAGTTCAAGGCTAGCCTCAGCAACTCAGTGAGGCCACATCTCAAAAAAGAACTGTGGATGTAGTTCAGTGGTAAAGCTCCCCTGGGTTTAATCCCTAGTACCAAAAACAAAACCAAAAAACCCTTATAGGTCATAGGCTATGGATGTAGCTCAGTAATGGTGCACTTGCCTAGCATGTGTGAGGCCCTGGGTTCAGTCCCCAAGTACCACCACCAAAACAAAACAAAAGCCTATAAACTGGATTCAGTACTATACACCTGTAATGCTAGCATCTTGAGGCAGAAGGATTGCAAGTTTAAGGCAACTTAGTGTGGCCCTTTCTCATAAAAGGGTTGAAGACGTGTTGTGGCTCAGTGGTAGTGTGCTTGCCTAGCACACGTGAGGCACTGAGTTCAATTCTCAGCACCACAGAAAAATAAATAAAATAAAGGTATTGTGTCCATCTACAACTAAAAAGCATTTTTATAAAAGGGGTTGGAGGGCTGGGATTGTGGCTCAGCGGTAGAGCGCTTACCTAGCACATGTAAGGCCCTGGGTTCGATCCTCAGCACCACATAAAAATAAGCAAAATAAAGATATTGTGTCCAACTACAAGTAAAAAATATTTTTTTTAAAAAAGCAGGGGGGGTTGGAAAAAAAGGTGGGTAGATGGAGAGTTGGGGCATGGTGAGAACCTGGTTAATTGGAATCCAGAGACAGTCCCAAAGTTTCATTTATATTGTTTTAACTTCCCTTGTCATGTTCATGTTACTTTTCCTCCCCCTCAGCAACCCCACTATAAATGGGGTTTATAAACTGCTGCCATTTTCTCACTGCTTATCATATGCAAGGATCTGTACTGGTAAGTACTGTACCACTGAGCCACACCCCAATCCTTTTGATTTTATTTTGAGATAGCGTCTCTGAGTTGCCAAAACTGGTCTGGAACTTGTGATCCTCCTGCTCTCAGCTTCCTGAGTTGCTGGGATTACAGGCATGTGCTACTGCACAGTCCGTCTGCCCTTTTAAATGGAGGTCTAGGTGAGTGGCCATGGGCTGGGACTGAAGAGCCCAGTTGTTTCCTGAAACAGACTACAGCTGAGAGGGCAATACATTGACCTGGCCCCATCTGCTAGAAGGGTGCTGAAGTGAGTGACAATCCCAGTTTTCCCTCTAAGGATCCACACTCAGAGTTATCATCTTGAGTAGAAATGTTCCTGGAAAAGATGCTAATTTCCCTGATGATTTTTCTGGAATTCTGGAAGTTTGACAGAATAAAACATTTGGGTCTGAAGTTTGTACTCCTGTTTGGCAGCCTGGATCCTTTCAAGGCTGTTGTGGTTGCTGCAGGCCAGGGCCAGCCTCCACACAGGCTGTGTCTAGAGCTTTTTCAACATGTTGGTCAGGTCCCACAGCTACTTCCCTGCTGCCTCCAGTTAAGACCTGACTCTTGGCAAAATATACCTGGCTTTCCATGATCTGGCCCCTACCTACCCTTCTAGCCCCACCCCTGACCGCATGCCAACACTCCAGGGTTCCCTGTCCTCTTGTCACACTGGACAACCTTGAACAGGCCATGTTGATTCTTTCCTCTTGCCTTTGAACATGCTGCTGCTTTTATTGGAAAGACATTCCTCACCTGGCTGACTCCTACATGTGCCTCTAGAGGAACCTGGGTGCCTGCCACCTTTGGATGCCTTCACTGGCCAACTCGGGTTAGGTGATCCTTGACCAGGTTCTTCTTGTGCCTTTGATATTTATTATAATAGAATTGTAATTGTTAGTGTAGCTTTTGAACCCTAAAATTGGTTATCTCTTGGAGAGCAGTAGTTGTCTTGTTCCTTGAAGAACTCAGCAAGTCATTCCAAGCTTATTGTATTGACAAGAAAAGGTGTGTGTGTCTTGAGGGGGAGGCACATCCTTCTGCTTTCCAAGCAGCCTCAGAGCCATAAAAGCAAAGACTGATAAAATTCACTACAGAAATATATACAACTGGGCAAATATATTCAAATGCACTCAGCTACTCTAGAGGCTGAGGCAAAAGGATTGTGAGTTTGAGGTCAGGCTTAGCAACTTACTGAGAACTGTCTCAAACCAAAACAAAAACCTGAACATTTGCATAGAGCAATAATCAAATGGCCAACAACTGGGAAAGTTATCTGTAACTCTAATAACAAAGGGCTAATTCCCCTAATACTTAAAAGAACTCCAGTACTTGGAAGGAGAGGCTGGAGAGTCTTCGGTTTAAGTTTAGCGTGGGAAATTTAGGGAGAACTTGTCTCAAAACACAAATAAAAGAGGGCTGGGAATGTAGCTTAGATGGTAGAGTACCACTGGGTTAAATCCTCAGTATTGCAAAAATGATTAACAAAGCAAAATCACTCCAATGCATTGATTAGAAAAATACCAAGATCACAAAAGAAAAGTAAGCCGAGGATAAAGAGTTCACATTAAAAACAACCAACCAACAAATACATTAAAAACAAACAAACAAAAAACTATTCAACCACATTCACAAAGAGCGTAGGACAAATCAAATCACATTGAAATGAAAGTTTTTACCTATCAGATGTAAGGAATGAGCACCCTCATACATTTCTGGTAGCAATGTAGATTGAAGCAACCTCTTCAATTTTTCTTAAAGAACAATCTACAAGTAGGTATCAAAATTACATATGCACCTTACCCTTTGATCCAGCAATTTCACCACTGGGATTTATCCCACAGATGTAGTCATATATATGATGTTATTTCTGAATAGGCTATTTATTGCAGCATTGTCTCTGGTACTTTTAAAAGACTGGAAACACCCTCACTAATTAAAACAGATTAGAGTTCATTCATTCTCTGGAACACCACACAGCTACAAAAGAAAGTATTGAAAAGGCTCTTGATGTGCTGATTTGAGACTTCCAAGTATATTGTTAAACAGGAAAGGAAAGGTGCAGAACAATGGGTACTGCATGCTGCTTGTGTATAAAAAATGGTGGGGGAGGGGGGCAATCCTATTGGTTTGTATATGTAGCAAATAGCCATTGAAAAATGAGAAACAAGTCCAGTCAACTGTTTGTTCCTTGGCAGGAGAACTGGATGGTGGAAGAACAGTGGTGGGAAGCAGATTTCATCTTTTTAAAAATATTTTTTTAGTTGTCAGTGTACCTTTATTTTATTTTTATGCAGTGCTGAGAATAGAACCCAGTACCTCACACATGCTAGGCAAGCACTCTACCACTGAACTACAACCCCAGTCCAGATTTCATTTTTAAGTCTTAAGCCAGATGAATATATAATCAACCATAAAATTGATAAATACATTCATTTAAAAAAGGGTTCTTGCTGGGCACAGTGGCCTATGCCTGTGATGGGCTGAAGCAGGAGGACTGAAAGTTCCAGACCAGCCTAAGGAGAACCTGTCTAAAAAAAGAAAAGAGCAGAGGAGGGGGAGTTTGGGGAGTAGCAGAGTGGGAGAGTACCCCAGTTTAAAAACAACAATAAAAAAACAGCAGAGAGTAATGAAAAATGGGTGGGGGGACTTGAAGACTTGGTGGGGCAGCTCCAGATTTCCCATCAAGGTCTTTGGAGTAGAAAGGGGTCTGTTTTTCTTGTCGTGAATAATACAGCAGGAGGACTTTTGAGTTCCCTGTGTGCTCCTAATAAGGCT